AAATGCTGAGCAATGTTAGCATTATAAAATAAAGGGATTTGGGTAACCAAACGAACATTTTTGGGAAGAAGTTGAGAAAATATTACTGCCCCACAAAGAAGAACACTAAAACCTACCTAATAGGGCACCTTTTCCTTTGATGTCACTTAAGATATATTGACAAATTATTACTGTATATATTTAGCATTTTATCTAAACTTCATGCTGAATATCCCTATTTCTTTTGGCATTTGGGATTATATCATCACTATTTTATTTCAACAAGGTCTACTGACACAAAAATATTGACTTTATACACTGAAAAATGTTTTTACTCCCTTTCTAACTGGCAACTATTCTCTGTATCTAGGCGCCAGGCCTTTTTTTTTCTGTCTAGTGTTAGAAAGTAAAAATGTGGTTCCATCATCCTATGTGCTTGCAAGATCCTAGTAATGCACTCACCAAGTAATCTGTTTTGGAATCACAGCTAATACAAATCATTTAAGGAGATTAGATTTTAAATAATATGACCTTATAAATTATAAAAGAGAAATCATACTCCCTTCTTATTCCTACCAAAACTATTGTCATACCAGTTCAAGTATACGTGAAATTATTAAGGATTACTCTGTTATTATTATTATATCACACCACTGTAAACCTTACAGTTGACAAGGTATATTAATAGAATGTAGAATTTATTTTAACTAGAATTAGCTATTCTTAAATCAATTATGTCTACCAAAAAGAAACCATATGTGTGGGTACAGAATTTTTGGAAATTTACATTTTGTTAAAAAATTAATGTGAAATTTAAATTGAAATGCAGCCTCTTGATGTTTAGTTATGTACTTAAATTTTTTACTAGAAAAAAGGTAAAGTCTATTATGATTTTTAGCAAAATAAAATTAACTGCACAGAATTGGTGTTTAATTTGGTTACTTTAAAATTAACTTTTTGATCCACTGTATTATTTTACATAATAAATTCAGAATTTCCATGCTTATATACTCACAACATACATACACACCAAAAACATTGCCCATAGTTTAAACTGATAACCTAAACTCAGGAAAATAATCCCCCCAATTTGTACTTTAAGCAGTTTCCTTGAGTTCCTTGTTCACAGATCTTTCATTTTTGTGGTAGTGAAATACATGACTCACCTAAAAAGTACATATGAACAAAACAGTGAAAAACCCTTTCTTGTATTACTCTTTTTTCCAACAGGTATAACATTGACTGTCTTACATTCGAACAAAAGAAAAGATTTTCTGGAATCTGAAGGTGTTTTAAATGGGTAAAAATGTATTTCTTCAACTATTGGGAGCAAACATACTAGTTTCACAGGAAAAGCACAATTTCTCCTAAAATTTAACTTTTTAAAAAGGTTTAATAAAATCTGAAATTTAAAAAAATATGAAATTAATCAATGTGTCTACCCTCTTCCTGAAAAATTTTTACATAGGGCGCTTTGATTCAACTCATTGCCTTGTGTTACATACTGTTGTACAGAATTTCAATCCAATCTTGCTTTATTATTTCTAAATTATCATTTATATTGTTACTGTTAGTACAGGAAGTGCCTATTTAGACTTAACCAGGGGTTTTTTGCTCAGCATTGTTACTTGTATCTCCTTCCTTTGTTTTGGATTCTCCTTCCTGAAGTACATCTTTTATAAATTATTTCAGCGAGGGCCTGCTAATAATAAATTTAGTGTTGACTTGTCTAAAAATGTTTTTATTTTGCCTTATTTTATGTAGAAATTATTTCTAATGTTGGGACCTAAACATTAAAATGAGAAGATGTAAATCAAATAGAAGTCCATAAAAGCTAAACATAGATACCTTTTAATTTCTGTCTATCTAGATTGCTCTGGGTAGAAAGCAGCAGAGAATTTTGATTACAGGAAGTGCTATGTTATGCGAAATTTGAAGAGGGGACAGATACATTTGTGGTATTTAAGTATCCGTCTTTTTGTTATTGTTGTTAAATCACTTGTGAAGCCCATTTCACAGTTGTCGGGTAATAATCTATTATATAGATTCTCAAAGATTAAAATCTCACATTTGTAAGAAAATGAGATTGATTTCTCATGGTGATTTGTCTGTTATTGATAGGACTCAGGTAATAAAATTAGGGTTCCATGCATTTGAGAAGGTGAAATTGTCCACAATATGACCATCAAAAAGAAAGATAAAAAGAGATTAACACAATTGGAGAACAAATCAACAGTAAATACACCAGTGTTTTTCCAAAATAAGTAGGTATAGATTAGAGAAGAATAAAATAAGCCCAAAACACTTCTTTTAGCATT